GGAGGAGTCCCACATACCTTCCTCTCGCTCCCCCGGTGGTTGAAGGATGCATAAAGCATTTTCCAGATAAAAAAAATGGGTGCGTGTACTTATGTAGGCGCGTGAGAAGTTATCCTTCTTTGGCATCGTTTAAAATTAGTTTTTAATTGCATGCAAATAATTAATTACAATAAATTAATAAAAAGTCTGGAAAAGGACACAGTCAACAAAGTTCAGTTTTAATTTGAAAAAATAAATAAATAATCAAAATATTCAATTAAAATCGCTACTGAATATAATTTATTAGAACATATGTGATTTGCACTTGTATGAAACTCAAACACGTATTCCGAATATACAAACTAGAAACATGTGGATAAATATTATAAATATGAATACCTATAACTGTTACTTTATTACAAAAAATTAAGATGTGGTTTTTGGTTCTACTACACCAATGGTCAAGAGATGGCGCTGTAGTCTTCTGAATCGCGGTTTGGTTCCGTTGTTCCAGATTAATAAATACTTTTGATATTATAAATATGAATACCTATAACTGTTACTTTATTACAAAAAATAAAGATGTGGTTTTTGGTTCTACTACACCAATGGTCAAGAGATGGCGCTGTAGTCTCCTGAATCGCGCTTTGGTTCCGTTGTTCCAGATTAATAAATACTTTTGATAGGCCTTCACAATGCAGTCGTTAGCACCCACTAAATAGAGATTCTATTTCTATTTTGTTGGTAGATTTTCTTAATGTGCGGTAAACACAAAAGTAACGCATGAAGTTGGTCGCTAAAGCGACCAACTTCATGCTGTTAAAATTTTGTGTTACAGTGACGCGCGCGCATCTTAAAATTTCACTCTCATCATTTTTTCATAACGCGCCTAAAGAAGTATAACTTCAAAAAGGCCTTTAGGATGGGTAAATATTACTCACAAAAAAAAAATGCATAAAATTAAAATTTTTACTAACAATTAAAATTAAATATACACTTTCTTTGCCTCTTTTCGGTAAACTGATTTATTAAATCATTTACAGCTCTAATGATGACTTTAGTTTTTCTAAAGTTTCTGCCTCTTTGGACAATAGTAATTAGTCTGACGGGCGTTCATGTCCTATCGAAGCACTTAGGTAATTTTTTATCAGTTTTAATTTTGAAAAAGTTCTTTCAGCAGTTGCGGTTGTAACTAGAAATAAAAAGCATGCTGTTATTATCTCCGGATAACTGGATGCAAGACTATTGAATTTTATCAGCAATAATTCAACGAGTTCCTTAATGGAATGTTTTTTTTTTATTTCAGTAAAAATAACCAAATCAAAAACTCCATTTTCAAGTTGCCGCGGAAACGATTTTGTGGACAACATGGCGTCTTACTAGTGTGTGTCGTCACACGACTGTTATTAAAACGTCAAACGAAACAATGTAATGTCAGTTTAACCGGAAGTTTACTTGCTTGTGACGTCATTTTAGGCTCCGCCAATCCCAAGCGTTTTGGTTACGTGACAATAGATAAGAAAACTATTATCTTTTTCGTTAGTTTTTAGTAAAATTATGAATATTTTTTTGTAAAAATAGTAAAAACCCCTGCCAATATTCATTCTAAACACCGATGCTAACAATAATTGGCACTTTATTTTTAACACTGTCAAATACCCCATTGGTTTTAAGGATTAACCGAGATGTCTTTACTGTATTTAACCGACAGTTTTCCGGGAGCGCTTAATATCTCTTCGCTTGAAGAAGGCAGGAGTTTCTCTGGTTGTAATATTTCGAACATACTACTCGGGTCGCAAAGGCTCTGAAATCTTGGTTTCGTTTGACAAATTAATATATGTAAACATCAATAATATACATTGACTACGAAATAGGATTCTGGGTCTGAAATTCTCTCATCTTGTAATAACACATTTTGTAGTTTCAGAAGTTTCTTAATTTTTTTTTTAATTCATTTTTGCTTAGCACGTTGGGGGCCCCCATAGCTTGGGGGCCCCATATTATTGATACGGCGGTTACGGCGGTAGCTACGCCCCTGTCCATTACATACAGATAATCTTGACAGAACTTGGCTTGCCAATACTTACATACGAGGAAACCCAATACCTACTTAGTGGATTCTAAAATTCTTACTCATCAATAGAAATAAGTACTTACAAGACCACAAGTCCAAAATGTAGTTTTACATAACCTAAGGATAAAAGCGTTAAGGATAATAGAGCGAGAAGTATGTACCTATATAAGCCTGACTTTTTATAACTCTCAACATTTATTTATCCAGAAAAACCAGGAGCGTGTGTTAAAAAGCCTGTAAATTTAAAAATAAAATCACATATTTATTTACACAATTAGGTTTATTCTTTTTCCCAAAATAACAAAGAACCATTAAGCTAAAGGTTTAGAACCAAGGATCTTAAGTTACAACAATTTAATTTCAATAATCGATAGCTAAAAACAAAAGTTATCGATACACACGCGCATCCCTAGTACCACAAACTACATACACCCGAAAGTTCATCCAGTTTTGGTCCAGCATTCAGACACTCCCAATAATCCACGATATTATGATAAATACCCATTAATTAATTTAAACGATACAGTCTTTAGAACACAAAATGATCGTCGTTGCGACTCTATTAAATATATTACTGATGAAAACTCCCATAGAGGACAGTTTAAAAGTTACATCCCATAAACTATAGAATATGTAACAGTTGATAGTGACAGGAATCATAAAATAAAATCGACAATAAAATCTTTAATAAAACTTAACAAGTTAGGCCTATTTATGCATATGTACGTAGAAGACATAAAAACCTTCTAAATAGTTCGCTAATAAATGAGAAAGAACTCTTTCGCATTATTAAATCTTCACAAATAAAAACAATTTAACAACTGGTATAAAGGAGACCCGGCACTTTTCATAGGAAAAATGCTAAACTTGTATACAGTTGAATTTGGTCTCAAAATGAAGCCAAAATTATTTGCTACATAAAACTACTTGTGCCTTATTTTTAGTGAATCGTGGAAAGAAGTTATTTAATGATTAATAGTTTTTGATAAAGAAACCCTTTTGATGACAAACCTACGTATTCGACATTGACATTTAGCTGCTGATGACAAATATTGCCAGACTAAGTTACCCAATTATGAAACACAGACAAAAAAATTAAAAAAGTATACAACTTTGGCACAAAATGCCGGGTGTCCTTTAACAACTCTCCATAGACTAACCAAAAAACGCGAAATTTAAGAATCTAATTAAACATAATATATAAAAAAACAATTTTACCCGTATCACAGTAAAATCAATATTGTTGTTAATTCCACAACAGTTGTTAAAAAAATATATGGATAGCTTTTTCAAGTGTATCTTTGAAAATCGTCAATCCCGTACTGATGCTCATTAAATAGACCTTATTACATTATTTATTAGGATAATACTATATATGTACATAGGCTTAACTTTGCGATAGGACATTAAGAAATCTTAGTACTTACAATTATGAAAATAGATAATTTCATATTGGCAATTATTTCCTTTGAAAAGTACTATGTAAAAATATATGAGAATGATGTTTCTTTTGCTAGAGTTTATTTTTATAATCAATGCAAATTTTTCAAAAATAGCTGACAAATTTAAAGAATGATAATAAAGACACATACACAAGTATTAAACCTATATTGAAAATTATGCAATAAACATAGTTAAGCCTAAGTTCACACGGAAAATTAAACGAAAAAAAAAATTTTATTTACAGCCATAAGGATCACAGGGATACAGATAATGTGAACTACAAACTATTACATAGAATCAGTATAATCATAATTTCAATATTACATAATCAAAATTCCAATATTCTCATTATGTAGGACACGACAGAAGGATCTGAAATTTACAAATATTAAAGATTTCTTTTAATTTTATCTCGATTAACTTTATTAAACCTTGATTCTTAATTTTATCGTTTAAACATTATACCAAATATTCGAATAAGTTTAACCTCATTTATTATTATTATTATTATAAGAAATGTGGCATAATTTGGAAGAGACCATCAACTTCGAATTCGGTTTGTAACAGCTACAAAATATTTCACTAAACTTATATTAATATTTACCACCGCAAAAGACATGCATTTAATGCATTACGCTCACATAATACACCGCCTCTTACGCACTATAATTAGATATAACGTAATAAATTTATGTCTATTTTAACCACATAAAGTTCTATATAACATTTCCAAACTATCTTTCATAAGACGTCCTATATTACCATAAGTGTTTAAGGTCTCTACTGTCCGTACATCACGTGGGATGTATAATACCATTTCGTTTGCGTACCAAAACACGGTATGCGTTTATCAAACTTTATTCACCACTTTCCAAGATAACTACGCCTATATCTCACTAACACAGAGCAACAATAATAATGAGTACATCGGAAACAATCGTTACAGAAGGCACTAGAGTTCTAGTGATTTGAGAAAACAATTGAATTTAGTTTTTAAGAACTTTCGTCGATGATGGTTTTAACAAGTGTGTTTAGGACGAAATTTTAACAAAACTATTTTGTTAAATTGTTTGAATTGTATTGTTTATTACTTTTTGTACACTACTATTATTATTATTTATCATGTGTTCTAATAATGATATGATTCAAACGACTATTGATTATTATTATATTTTGAAGTTCAAGACTATTATGTCTTTACGTAAAATGCCTTTAAGGAAATCTTTTAAGATCTCGTTGTGTAGTCAAAGAGAGTTTCGTTAAGTTTTTTTTTTATTTCATAATCATTAACCTTATTATAATACTGTTTCACTTCGTAACTCTAGAAAAGAAATCTACATGGAAAGGACGACAAGAGAATGTATTTTCTAAATATTTGAATGGAAACATCGTAAATTATAGAAATTAACGCACAGATATACATTATATTATTATTACCCAAATGTCATATAACATACTTTACTTCAATAATTATATAATTAAAAAACCATAAATGATAGTATCTGATTAAGATAACAACGTTCAAAATTTATTAATTTATTTTATTTGTAAATATATAAAAATGTTTCCATTCAAAATCATTTATATCCAAAACATTAATACAAATTGGATAATCATTGTAGGCAGTATTGTGTTAGACTTACATGAATTTAGATTACCGAATAGCCTAGTAATTGTAGTTCTGCATCATAACAGCCTTCGATTTGGCTCATAAGTCCTGTAGTCACTGACGTGCCCGGCCTGAACACAGCCTTAGGGCTGGCCTAAATACGGCCTAGGGGCTGGCCTAACGCAGTCCGGCCTTAGGCCTAGGCCAGGGTTAAACATAGCTCTCCATGTGAGTGCTTGTAGACGGGCCCTAGAAGGATGCTTCGACCAAATAAGTCCCGTCCATTGCTACACCAGTTTGGTTTCCTTGCACTGTGCTCCCAGCAGGAATGTATTTTCCGCACGCTTGCTGTGAAACATAATTTAAAAATTATAAAACAATAACAATAATTATTAAACAATGGCGACTAAAACAATTTAACAATTAATGCTTATATTTTATGATGTTTTTACTTTAAATAAGACTCAAAATAATGTTATGATACCTTTGTATAGCACAAGTACGAAAAATTTTAAATCTATTTACTTAAAATGAATATGTGATCTTTAATTACTCATATTTGTAATTACTCTAAATCACAAATAAAAAAAATGTGATTCTACTTAATCAGCTCACTTGTACATGAAATAACCTACCTACCTACATTAGCTAACTACATTTACATTTGATACATTGTAAGCTGGACACCAAAAGCTATCACATCAGTATAATATATAATATGACCATTGGTGAAAAATTATAAGACTAAAACGTTAATACCATCGTGATAAAAAAGGTGTGAGATAGCGACTGTGAAGGTGTGGTGAGTTAAATATATTTTTGTGTGCGAAACATGCCAATTATATATATAGATAGGTATAAAGTTTGTTCGTAGACCCAATAGTGTGTTACGTGATTGTGGACAGCAAACATTTAATTTTGTTATAATTATGTATGTCAAATTCTGTAGCAACGACTTCTGGCCCATTTGGATGTCTTCGCCCGTAAAGTTCACTTAATATTGTCAAAAACAGCATTTTAAGTACTGTGACTATCACGCACTATGATAACAAAGCACCGATACTGTAATTATTTGCCATTTAAAAAAGATGTATGAAAGGGGAATGAATATGTCAATGAGAACTTCATGAAGTACATAATTTTTAGCATGTTCAATCAAATATAAGTGGACAAAGTCATGTAAAAGTGATTAAGAAAAGAAAAAGATATTCAATTAAAAGTTTGACGACCTTCATATACATTATTTCAATAGCAAAGTACTCATTGTACCAGTGCCACGCTATCATAGTAAGCAACAACCCTCACCAGTATCATTATTTCAATCGTGTCACTAAATAATTCACATCTTTTGATTTTATTCTCATAGATTTCACTCGTCAACTTTGTCAAAAGCAAAAGAAGCTTCCAAAAATGTACACTTATCCTTTCTGCGTTTTGAATTGCCAATTGAATAGTAAAATGTATGCAGTGTGTTGGCATTAAAGTTGAAACAACGTCATATAATATGCTCCAACATGCAAATTCTCTTAAAAAGATATAATATATATCATATCCATCTAAACATTAAAAACATTTCGTCGACATCCTTTTTTTAATATTACACTTTCTACACATTGTCAAACACTCCTGGATCTACAATGCAAAAAAAATTGTCGCTTCATTCTTTGGATATGTAAAAAAATTAAAGAATCAAACGACTACGTCACAATATACAATAAATATAAAAAAAACTTAAAAGGGCATACCCACAACAATAATCACAAATATTAAATTAATACTTTTTAACACTAATTAAATTAATACTTTATATTACAGCAATATTAATGCGAAAGCTTAAGATAACGACATTTAGACATATAGTTATAGACATAGTCATTAAGAAGTTTTTCAAGCAGTATATATAGATTTGCAGCCAACACCCTGCAGACATTTAAAGCCTCGATTTTGTATAATGTGGTTAATATCACACAGTGAATACGGCCTACTGCTATCAGCACTAAATTAAATCAACTGAACAACATAATATTCCCAAAACTAAATCATTGTGCTAAAATTTAATAAAGCGTACAAAGTTTTAAAGAGTAAAATTAAAAATTTATTGAAATAAACCTGAGTAACCCATTTAAAAAAACTAAAATATATCTGAAAACATATAACAAAAGTAATTAGCCTGATTCTGACTACTTTTCTCAACGTATAATTTTCCCGGATATTTGCAACAATGTATACATTCTATCATGTTCTTAAAAAATGAGGATACTGCACTAAAATTTAGTTTTTAGCATAAGAAAAGCGCACCAGAATGAGACCCAATTTTTGTGTAAACAACTTAACAAAAACCATCTGATGTTTGTGTAAACAAAACAATTTAACAAAATAAAACAAAACAAGGGCGGCAACAAGCGCACCGACATCACTGCGTGATAACACCGACCAACATACTGGTAACGGATCTTCGCTGGGCGCTGCCGACACAGACGTGTCTGACGGACGCGAAGTCGCTGTGTACCGCCTGGCGCCCTTCATCCGTCCCTTTCTACTCGAGTCTAAAAGCAGGACCTGTCAGAGCCAATCCAATCAGCTATCGGGTATCAACATTAACTTTTTTTATGTTAATTTTAACAAAGATTTAACTTTTGTTCGTCTACTCAAAAGTGTCAGTGAAAGTGTTTGCAATTTTGTTTGTTGTTGTTTGTATAACGTAGAATGTTGTGTTTTTTTATCACTAAGTAAGGTAAGGTAATATTTGTACGTGTTGAACAAAATCTACATTACAATAGACTAAAACTAAAATAATTAGCTTCTTAAAGTTCATAACTGAAGGTGCCTACTTCAAATATTTAGTAGTATTACTTCTCAAATCGAAATGTATGTTTCCGATCAACTTACCAGTAATCTGTTAAGATATATTTTTTACTGTAAAATGCACTGTTTTTTATTTATTCTAGCCTAATTTTATCCGTTATCTGTGCCAGTATATTTTGACTGAAACAAGATCAGGGATAACATAATACTATATCCTAGCCCAGCTTTTGTATGCGTTTAGCTTATATATACAAAAACATCAAGCTTAATAGATTGAAGTATTGTTCACAATTTGCACAATGGCCACACAACAATATTGCCACATTTCGCAATACAAGCCATATTTTTGACCATTATTACGTATTTTAATACAATATTATTTTTATTTTTGATATTAAAAAAAAATCTGGGTTTGTTGTTGACGATTTTTTAACAACAAAATATCAAACATGATTCTCAGATTTGTTGTTGATTTGTTTACGTAATAAGGTCGGTATATATATAAAAATGTGCTTTCCAGCTGTACGACATAGTACCTCTCTTCTAGGACACGTAGAAAGCCCTAAAGGGCTTATACACCGCACTGAACGACGGCGCTTCTGTTGTAACAATGTCATTTATTATAATCATAAGTCAAAAACGAACACATTTAAGTACCTATATTACTTTGAACCAACTCTCAAAATACACTTTGATTTTTTGGGAAAACTCCGCTCTTTATGTTTTCTTTTAGTTAAAAATTAAAGTGGTAGCTGTGCCACTAAGTTAATTAAAAAGTAGCGAAAGTTGTAGTAGTAGAGCGAAGTTAAACGTAACAGAAATGCGATGTGCCTTTTTCATAGCCAAAATCTAATATTGTTTTTTGAACTCAAATGAAAAAATAGGCCTTTATGTTGAGTACAAATTTTAGTATGCAAACATGTGTGTTAGCGGAAGCGGCACAAAGTTTCAATAGTAAAACACAAACGTGTCTTCTTAATTTGCCGTGGTTCGTGAGCGGCGAGAGTATGAAAGCCGTCACCTGATACTTTTGCGGGCAGCAGCCGCAGCGCGCGCAGCACGCTAGTAGCGCGGGCGCGCGGCCCGAGTGCGCGGGCGACGCTAGCGGCGACGGCGAGCCCGGCCGCTTGGCGGCGCCGTTGAACGGATTCTCTATCTCGACAAACTCTCGGTCCTGCAAGCAGACGTCGTTCAGCTAAGCTCAAATTATTATCATCTGCTAGTATCTTAAGTTTGTTAAGGGGCACATCGAGCGTAACAATTATTTTCGTTAGTCCAATCTATTTTGGACATTTTGCTTAATTTTTCCATTAAAATTTTGACTATTAGTATGATATGATAACTTTATGGCTTATTAAATTTATAATTAATTTATAATCTACTTTGACATGCATGTAACAATAGACAATTTCAAATTATATTCATAAATTGTGATTCCAATGTAAAAATAATAGTACTTCTTCCATAGGTCCATATCTATTTGTATAGCTTTAATTAAGGTAAAAATGTAGAGATACTATCAAAAATTTTATATACCATGTATAACCTATGTGTAACCTATGTTTCACAAATAAAAATCTGATTCTGATTCTTAAATTGTTTCATTCATCGTCCGTTGGTCGAAAAAGCGACAATTACTCATTAGATTTGTTTTCATTCTAGTTTCTTAAAAAATAAAAGGTTTGACTTAAATGCCAGTCTTCAGAATTATAAGTCTATTTAATGGTTACTCGTCTGCGTTAACTAGATGAAGATATCATGTCAATATGATATTAACCTACATAAGTAGTTACGCTTTCAATGTAATCGATTAACATGGATTCCAATATCAACAAAATTTACTTAACATTCAATATGGTGTGACTTGGTAAAACTTCTAAATAGGTACTTTAGAGTAAGCGCCTTACCCATTTTTAACCAGTTTACATTTCTGAGTGCTTTGTAAAAGGTATATGTATATGTAGTATTAAAAGAATGTTTTTTTGACGTGACAACGTCTTAAATTAGGTTGCGGCTGGGAGTCACTTATGAAAAAGTGTAACGCTCGGTAACGTTACGATGAGTCTCTCGTGTTAAGTTTAAGTTTACATGTACAATGTTTTAGTAAACAAAATATATTTCTATAGTTAAAATTTGTGCAATTCTTATTTTCATTCAATTCCTTGTTCCTATTGTGCAATTTAATTATATTCATATCAATAAATATTCTACCGAGAAAAAGACGTTGTCACGTAAAATCTTCGCCCGTAAAACCGACTTTACAGGCAACCATTTTTTTTCTTGTGGATTTTTAAAAGTTATGCTCGATATGCAGACAACATTTAGCAACAACATCCATTCATGCATAGGAGAGTACCCTGACCCAATCGCACAGGAACAGGGATTGAATCAGGGTGGGCAACAAACGGCATGAGTGATATTTTTGATATTCCAAGCAATCTATAGGCTATCCGCGCTTCCTTCTCCCATCAGGCGGAAGATACCCTTGTATATACGATTCAAATAAGAATAGGAAAGCCAATGACGTCCATCTGTCAAATGTCGTTTGAAATGTACGGTTTGCAAAAAAATCTCGGAACACTTTTTTAGCACTCATTTGATTCTAGAATAAAAACAAACAATAACAAATTTTGATAATAATTAATATTAGTTGATTTTTTTCATTTATTGAGCTTTGGCTATGAATGGTTGATAACCTAAAGCGTCAAACTAATGTCACTTTATTTTTATTTTTATTTTATTTTATTTGTAAAGGTACATTAAACAGCCAAAGGCCAGCAAAAATGTACACAGCTGAATAACATAAGTAAACCTTATTTACCAAAAAGAAAACATATGAAGAAAAAAAACATTGATGAAATAGTCTTCAATCTTAGGTAATGAAACAAAGTGGGCGAAAGGAATGAAAACTTGATATTACCCGAGAAAAATCACTAATTGGGTACGAGTCTAAAAAACATTCATGGATCTGCAATCAACCAAATAAACAAAAACATGCATAAAATAAACAATAAATATGTATATGTATATATATTTAAAAATAACAAGGGTATTTGTTATATATTTATTTGGGGACGGGGGACGGGGGGGTAAAGTGTCAACCTCAAATCATTTTTAAAGTTCTGTTTTGATCCAAAAAATATATCTATGTCTTTAAATTTTGAATTGTATAAGTGTGACACGCGCGTTAGGATAGAATGGTTCCCATATTTATGTTGCGTTCAGTAACTCGATTTAAAACTTTCGTTTATATATAGGATGTTGTGACCTGTATGATTATTCATAACTTCTCCGGCGGTAATGATAATGCAGAGATGAGCGAAATTGAAGAGCTAGATTCTGATTAATGATTTTTGAAGTTATACTTCTTTAGGCGCGTTATGAAAAAATGATGAGAGTGAAATTTTAAGATGCGCGCGCATCACTGTAACACAAAATTTTAACATAATGAAGTTGGTCGCTTTAGCGTCCAACTTCATGCGTTACTTTTGTGTTTACCGCACATTAAGAAAATCTACCAACAAAATAGAAATAGAATCTCTATTTAGTGGGTGCTAACGACTACATTGTGAAGACCTATCAAAAGTAGTGAGTTACTCCGTGATCATGGCGCTTGCAACAGTGCCGAAATATCGGAAACTCGCTAAAAACAAGGTACATGGTAACAATCCCGTAAATAACTTATATTACTATCAAAAGTATTTATTAATCTGGAACAACGGAACCAAAGCGCGATTCAGGAGACTACAGCGCCATCTCTTGACCATTGGTGTAGTAGAACCAAAAACCACATCTTTATTTTTTGTAATAAAGTAACAGTTATAGGTATTCATATTTATAATATTTATCCACATGTTTCTAGTTTGTATATTCGGAATGCGTGTTTGAGTTTCATACAAGTGCAAATCACATATTATGTTCTAATAAATTATACTCAGTAGCGATTTTAATTGAATATTTTGATTATTTATTTATTTTTTCAAATTAAAACTGAACTTTATTGACTTCGTCCTTTTCCAGACTTTTTATTAATTTATTGTAATTAATTATTTGCATGCAATTAAAAACTAATTTTAAACGATGCCAAAGAAGGATAACTTCTCACGCGCCTACACGCACCCATTTTTTTTTCACAAAGTCTTAATAAAGAAATACTATTAAAAATCGGTTGTGTTCTTTCTCAACCTTAGTAAATTAATTTGATTAAAAAATCTGATGTTTTGTTTCACTTGATCTTAGTAAATAAGTTTTATTAAATAGCAACATTTTTTTGGTCACTAACTATTTGGTTTGAATTGACAGCTATGACGACAAAATATGGCACCCAGTCGGTCCTATTCTTAGTTGAATTGTATTATTTGCTAACCCTTTTAACATTAAATTAAAACAGGAAGAAACATACACTTAACAGAAGACATTGTAGGGATTAAAGTTACAAAGGCCCCAATGGGAAGAAAAGTAGGGTTGCACTGAAAATGCAAGTGATGAGTCCATGATATTAAAGGCTCCCCCAGTTTCCCAGATGGGTCTGTCTGTCATGATAACTTTGTTGTCATGAAACGTACGCAATGAACACCGCTGCATGCACGAAAAGTGTGACGTCATGACACGTTGCCAGGAGTTAGTTCAACGTTCCGAAATGTGAGTGAGGTAAGGTCGGTCGAGAGAGAGGGTCCTTCGACTCAACCCCCCATTTCCGCCCTTCTCCTGACACCTCCTGACATCCTTGACCCCCGATTCCCAATCATCCCCCGATTAGTACTTCACCCCCGCGGAGCCTAACTCAGGCCTACAGAGAGCTACAGAGGCGTGTTTGGGCTCAAACGTACCTAAAAAAGCCCCACAATACTGCCTCGAGTTAGACAGCGGTGCGACACATTAAGGCGTTGAGCAGACGACGGGGCGGGGCGGGCATTTTGTCCGCGAAGCAATAAAGACCGCGTCTGCCCGTCGATGTCTGCGGCTGCCCGCGCCGCGTACACAAAGCACACGACGGGCAGAGGTGGTCAGTTCAGGACGTTCGTTCTAGTGAATAGTTCATGACCGCCCCGCGCCGCCGTCTGCGTTACTGCATATAAACTGGTTTGTATGATCCACGGCGGGCAGCCGCGGACATGCCGCGCCACCACTGCCCGCCGGGCACCCAAGGAGCGGTCTTTTTGACCGCTGTGTGCGTTTGAAGTATAGGATTCACTTTGTGTTATTATTCGCGGCGAAATTGACCGGCCCGCCCCGCCCCGTCGTCTGCAAAGCGCCTATTACGTATAATTATCGTCTGTAATCCGACTTTACAGACAATCATTTTTTTACCTACAATGCGAAGAAATGGTGTGCCTTGCAGCCTAAGAAATATTAGAGAAAATTCGACACTGACAATTAGGGCTACGGCAGCATAGTGATCAGTGCATCCGCCCGAATAGCGGAGGCTTCGGGTTCAATTGCGTCTGTTGCCTGGTCCGCGTGGAATTTTTTGTAGTAAAATTTTCTTTAGATTTAAACTTAAAGCGGTTAAATGCTTCAAAAATAAAAATATAACACAAATTAACATTTGAAGTCGGTGGCATGTAATCTTAGTAGATCTGAGTTACCGTTTACTGCTAGGGTTTGCACTTGGCATGGCACTAACAGTAAATGTTAATTTGACTTCAAATGTTTTTTTTTTCATTTATTGAGCTTTGGTTACAGAGTAAATTTAAATGTTATATACAGGGCGTCCCACGGGTACCTCACACGGAGGGAAAGTATATTAAATATTGAAGGTAGGATATCTTACCGAAAGAAGACATCATTTTATTTTTAATTATAACTAGAACTGCATTCACAGATTTTTTTAAAATTTCCTGCTAAAACGGGGAATCAAACTCGTGAAATTTCGAAAAAAAAAACACTACACTACTTTATGATAACCATCGAAAGAGTTAATCATAACAATTCTTTTTTGCTAAATAACATAGCATTTTATATGAAAGAAAAGTCATAAAATTACACATTTTATTAAAAATATTCAACAAAAAGTAATAAAAAACGAAATGTATCCAATGTTCAAAATGTGATCCGATGTTGTATGCAAATTCTATTAATGATTTCTCTGCCTGTCAATTTCATTATCTTTGCGTGGTGAATGCACATTGTCTTACCGGTTCTTGTATACTACATCTGTTACATAACCCCACCAAAAAAGTTCAGTGGGGTAAGATCTGGGGATCTCGCTGGCCATCTTATTTGTCCATAAGAACCGATCCAGGAAGAAAAGTGTTCTTAAGAAACTCGGCAGTTCTCCTACTGTTATGAGTCCCATTTTGCTGGAAAATGAGATTTCGTCGATTTGCATCAGGAAGATTGTTGATCTCTCCTCTTAAAATATTAAGTATTTCTAGATATCTTTACGTATTTAGATTCCCTTTGTAAAAAAGTATTAAGAGGACCCGGTTTTTAACTAAAATGAAAAACACAAAAAAAGAAGAGTACCCTTAGCACGAACCAATATCGAATTTGAATAGTTTTCGAGTGCGAAATGTCATTACATTGTACAGACGCTTGAAAATGTATGTGTTTTCGAATTATTATTTTTACAAATTTCAGCCAATCGCATTTTTACTGAGTTCAAAAAGCTCTATTTTAAACCCTTTCGATGGTTATCATAAAATATGTCGTGTTTTTTTCGAAATTTCACGAGTTTGATTCCCAGTTGTAGCAGTCGATTTTAAAAAATCTGTGAATGCAGTTCTAGTTATTATCAAAAATGAAATGATGTCTTCTTTCAGTAAAATATCCTATCTTTAATATTTAATATACTTTCCCTCAGTGTGAGGTAGCCGTGGGACGCCCTGTATATAAAAGTAAAGAATTGTATTATTGAACTGGCGAATGTGTTACGATTTCGCGTTACGATTAGTGTCAACGGTGATTCAACGGTAAACAATGAACAATACCCGTTACAAAATATATGAATCTACTAGTGCTCGGTGGGTGATAACGGACCCAGCACGGATTGGTGGATGATAACGGACCCAGCACGGATTGGTGGGTGATAACGGACCCAGCACGGATTGGTGGGTGATAACGGACCCAGTGCGAATGGTGTTTTTTTTTTCTATCAACAAATCTTCAGGTTAAGTTTATGATTTTCAGATCATTGCAGTTAAAGAAGTTACTAAAATTAACGACACGGATCCACACGTGTGAAATGTGTTTTGTCGATTTTTCACACAAGGACTGAATCGTAAAGCCATCCCCCATAGGCGCGTCATAATCGGTGGATGATATAGAATGCGTTATTGCAATATCTGTTTTTAGTACATTAAGTATTACAACGGCTATGAAGTTACACATTGGTTTCGATTCTGGCATGATTTTTTAAACTTTAATTCAAATTTGACAATCGCTGTCGACCAGGCTTTTTTTAACGGGTAAACGCGTTCCATTTAGGCTAGCATCAACGTTTCAGCACGGATCCAGAGCTAACAGTTGATAAGAAAATAAAAAGAAATGATGTGGTGTCGTGGGACACTAGGTAGGAACGAAGTTCCTTCGGCTAATGTAGAATCGACACAAATTGCAAACTCGCTTGTGTATGCGACTGTCGCACCTGCGCACGTCTCATTTAACGGTTTTATTCCACGCACTTTTTGCCACGGATTTTTTCTTACGGTTTTACTATCACATTTTTTTCAGTTCGGTCGCGCAGCAAAATCCCTATCCCCTCCAAGCCTGCCGTAAGGAACTTCGTTCCAATAATCATATAGGAGCAAGTCCCCTCACCGTTGTACGCTCCAGACACCTCAACAGGTGGTGGTGCTGCAACTCGAAGATGTCTTCATCTCTGCCCGCGTCATCCAGCTCTACCCCAGACTCCTGCGCAGCTAGGCGGGCCTCCGCGGCCTTCTTCTTGGAAACAAACGCAGCGCCCGACGACGCCTTGGCGATACGGATGCGGGCGAGACGGGCTTTCTGGAATTTCCACAACAATTCAGTTTATAAATGAGAGGGAAAGAGAAACATTTTTATTGACCTTAAGTTATAATTTAACTACAAGCAACAACATTTAACATAATAAATAAAATGAAATACACAAAGAATAAAACTACTGTCCCTACAGGACCTTGCCTCAGCATAATTCTGTAGCATCACGTCGCCAAAAGTGTCACAGCAATGCTGGTATTTTGACAGGGCCAGAACATTGATAGGGGCATCCATGTCCTGGTTACGGATAACATACGGCAAACCCTTCAACAGTCCTTCCTTCTTCGCGCCATTACGCGCTTTAATGTCGGAATTTTGATATTCATACTGATGGGAACATACCGCTTGCACCTGTGAACTACTTCTGATGGGTTCTGATTAATTAAAGTCTATGATAATAACAGCTGTGTTCATGTATTTACACCAAGTCCAGCAGAAAGAGAATCTCTCAGAATCGTGACCTAGTATTTGGTGCTAGCTTGAAGTGTGAAATAATGAGCAGAAAAGATTATAGACGTACAGGAAGGACAAAGGGAGAAAACCTTTAAAATATTAGCTTACTTCTTTCTTAAAGGCCGGCATCGCATTTGTGATACTCTTGGTGTTGCAGGTGTGCGTCGGTGATCACTTACCATCAGGTGAGCCGTCTCCACGTATACCTCCTATAAGATAGAAAACCTACCTTCTGCAAATTCCGCTTGTTATCTCGCTGGTTCTGGTGGTATATGCGCGAGAAGTTAAACACGATGATTGGTACTGACATAGTGACTACCAGCAGGATTTACGGCAGAAATATCTGCCATTTTATGTTGCGACGCGATCTGACGCGATCGGTTTCATACGTTTAGTACGGTTAGAACTGTACTTGACTGTCGCGATGTGTCAACACCGTTCTCACTCTAATCATACTAAATTTATAAAACAGATAGCTCTCTGATACGTCACAACACAACGACAGGTAAGTATAGTTCTGCCATAACTCGTCATCTCTAATGTATGGTGCAGGGGAAAACTGCGCCGTCCGCTATATGAGACCTTTTGGACGAGTCTTGCCTCCTCCAGCACCTCCTGGGCTTTAAAGCAGCACCACTTCCAAACTGACAGAGCTCAGGAAGTGCCAGAGGAGACCCGAAACGCCCAATAATGCGTGACGTCGAGCGCGGTCACATGAGATCGTTTAGGGCGTAATAAATGACCTTTTTTTGCGGACGCAGGCATAACCTTTATCGGAGCAGAGAGGCTATAGCATCTCAGGTGATAACGGAAACCCCGTTTAAGCAACCCGTGCGGCTTACGAGCGCTTCCGGCGTTACTAGACGCTAAAAACCCTGCGAATACTCTCTTCAGCTGTTAACTATTTCGAGCAAGATATACATACTCTTAAAAATATATAAGCAGAGATGTTGACACGTACCCTCTGCGCCTTTCTCTTGTCGGCTCGTTGGTTCTGGTGGTAGATGCGCGAGAAGTTGGACACGATGACTGGTACTGGGAGAGCGATCACCAGCACCCCGGAGAGGGAGCAGACGCCACCCACTATCTTGCCGGCTATCGTGCCGGGTACCATGTCTCCGTACCTGGAGGAAGAGGAGTTGAGGTCAGTTTAGAGTGTGATAAGCAGACAATGGTTATAGGGCTTGCCACAGACCTTAAGTTAAACAAATAAAATCAAAAGAAAATTTTACGAAACGGGCACGGACTCGGAGGTTGTTTATGTCACCGGAATATAATCCATTCCGTAAGTTTATAAATTTCCTAGTAAATTGATCAACTTTCGTAAGATAGTAAACGAGAGATGAAATGTATTATCTTGCGGGAACATTTTCGTAAAGTGATCAATTTACGACGACTCGCGGTAAATTGATAAACTAACTTAAAATTTCAAGACCTATCCACATAAAATTCTAAGTACTGTGACGAATCCCAGAACAGAGTATAATTTTACGTCATTTAAATTTACGAAAAGAAACACAGCTTTCTGATTGGCTGCCTTTAGCGACTCCGGTACTTGCCGCCATAGGCTTAGGTACGATCAGACATGTGCAAATATTTTCATACACAAGATGACTGTATAAGTGTCCATAAGGCTAAACTGTACTTCCAGGGCCCAAGCGGTAATAATTTACACTGGGTTAGGTTAGTGTTGAGACCAAAACGTGCGAGCCGAGCAAGCAAAGCGAGCGTGTCGCGGTAGCGGCCGGCGAAGCACCAGAAAAGAAACAGTTGTATCACCTCTTGGGACCTGGAAGTACAGTTATACCCTATAATACCGTCGTCACATTTATTAATTTTTGTTCGGTCCATTGAATTCACAAATACCTACTTAAAGTACTTTGGATAAATACCCGTTTGTACCTTTTGTGTCCCCAAAATCCCTCCTTATATTCGAGCTTTAATCATTAGAATGGATACGAGCTCAAAGTACTCCTTCTAAATCCATTTTGAACGTGCGGAATTATGCCGCACTTACATTTGGTCGTTAGCCCGTATACGGGCGCACGAATGACATTACTCGAATTCGGGCACCCGAAGCGATCTTTACACTGTAATACGGGCTGGAAGACGGTGACGGGTAAACAAAAGGTAGTCTACCCGAATACAGGCGTACTCGACTCCGTTCATTTACACTTAATCGTTTATCCGAATTCCACTGGAACTCGTATTCGGGCTGACGACCAAGTCATCATCATCAGCCTATTAATGTAATTAATGCTGGGGCACAGGCCTTCCCTATGGATGGAATAGGGAGATTGGGCCTTGACCCACCACGCAGGCCCAGTGCGGATTGGCGGGTGCTAACGACTGCAGATGCAGCCGGGACCAACGGCTTAACGTGCCCTCCGAAGCACGGAGGAGATCGAGATAGTGAATTTTCGGTCACCCATCCAATGACCGACCACTGCGAAAGTTGCTTAACTTCAGCGATCGCATCCGAACGCGCTAAACACTTGCGCCATCGAGCTCCTCGATGACCAAGTGTAATCACATAATTAGAGGGTAAACAGCGTGCCTATGATTTTTAGGGTTCCGGAACCCAAAGGTTCCAAAAAGTGGCTATTGTTGTTATCGGGTGTCCGTCTGTTCGTTATCTATAATAGGGATGATGACTAATTTTTTTTTCTTCGTTTATCAGGTAGATTATCAAAAAGTATTGTACACGTATTTTTTCTTTTTTCGCATAATATAAACATTGCAGAGATATGTTGATTTTAAAAGTCGCATGACGTCACGTTTTGGTACAATTTTCACTTAAGAGTGACGTCACGAGCCCGTACTCCCAAACTTTGACGCACTATAACTTTGTAATTTTTTGGTTGATTGCCCAAAGAAAAAATACGTGTCCATTATTTTTTGATCATCTAACTGACGGACTAAATAGATTTACGTTTACTGTACCCCGTCATCACCCCTATTTAGGTTTTACAACAGAACAGTTTAAGGTTCGTTGTTTGTTCGTTGGTTGTAACGACAAAGAGTAGTAGTAATTACCGGTTTTTATTATTTCTGCGTGAAATGAGTAAAATTTTCGTTTCATATAAAGCATGACAATGATAGATTATCGTCGTCTAATAGCACAAAAGAATTGACAATTCATTCTATCATTCGCCTCCACCATTCGCCATGCAGCGAGTGGTTTCACCCATTCGTTGCACTCGAGCGATTCAAAAATACGGAATTGATTATGTCGAATGAAATTTAGTAGAAATCGAGCGTTCGATGCAAGACGAGTGATTCAAAAATAGAGCTCCAGTTCTGTCTCGCTTGCTCGAATGAATGTTTATATACAGACATGTGCGTGTGAGAGATGCTTATGCAGTTGAGTCGGATCATATTTTATTTGATGCTAGTATGAGCATACCGCATCTTCCCTTTTTGTTTTAATCTAAGGCCCGTATTACAGAATGACAACTAAGTGTTGATCTTTACTTGAGTACAGTTAGAAAGGGATGTCGCTATGTGCTATATATAGCGAGATCCCTTTCTAACTATGTACAGGACTAGATCAATCACTGAGAATCTTTCTATAATTCGGTCCTTAGACTGCAACTCATTATGATGAGCGAAATTGCGGGGAAATGTCGAGTAGGCCCTCGGAAAATGTTGCGCCTTCGAAACATTCGCGAGTGTACTGGAGTCTGGAGCGCTGCGCTGTTACTCCTCTCCAGGGACAAAGCGAGGTTTTCATGGCTGAAGTCCAACCTTCAGTAATTGGAGAGGTACATGAAGAAGAACGATTTACAGCAGTGATATTCTGTAACGACAAAATCATTTCACCCCGGAACCCTCGGTGTGTGTGTGTGTTTTTTTTTCTAAATGGCTTCGCACGGCTTGTCCATTTAGCCGATGTCGTCAGTCAAAGTAAGTGGCAGTCAAGTCAATCCCCCTTTCCCTTTGTTTCAATAAAAATGTGGGGATTTACTGGAACCTCCCCGTGGACTTCTTGAGGGAACATCGAAAGACACTTTCCGCTATTTTGTTTCACTTGCCAACACTTGTGCATGTTCCCGAACAGTTAGTGGTTAACAATACACCATTATTAGACACTAACATCCGCCACAACACAATTTTTAACAAGAAAAACAAAACTGCTAAAGTGACGCTTCCCGATCCCGCCAAAAAGTCTCGTTGTCATTTAAAATTATTACACGAATTTCAAATTTTTTTTTAATCACACTGGCGAATTACGCGAAAGCAAGTGAAACTCATTCATACAGAATAGCACTATTGATGTTAATTATTTATGTATATTAAATTAAAATAATAATGTGTGCATGTGTTAAATGATTAAACACAACGTTGCGAGTCTGAAGGTCGGGTTAATAATCTCACTTTGTAATTTATATAAAAGCTTAAATCCGCGTGTTTATAACAACTTGAACAAGCCGAAGCTTCAGGCTTAAATAGCTTATAGGTAAAAAGCTAGTTCGTTCACCGTCTGCGGTCAACATTCTCTTAGTTTGATAAAAAAAAATGATTTACATTGTTTAACGCTATTAATCATAGTCATATTTATTTTTCATTTTATAAGCATTTAACTGCTAGACGTTAAAATCTAAAGAATTTTTTTCTAGAAAAAAATCCACGCGGACGAGATCGAACCCGCACCCTCCGCTATCCGTACGAATGCATTGACTATTATGCTACTGCGGTCTTAATTATCCGTGTCGAATTTTCTCTAGTATTTCTTAGGCTGCAAGGCAGCGCTATCTCTTCGCATTGTAGGGAACCCACAATGTCAAATGATATTAGTAAGTACAAGTCTTTGATTATTTACTCTCAAAGGTACAAGTATTAAGCATATGAAAGAAGAAATAGCGAAGAAATGAGAGATATTAAAAGAAAAACTCAAGTTTAATTCAACTAACCTTATCATCAGCCTATTAATGTCCCCACTGCTGGGGTACAGGCCTTCTCTATGGATGGAATAGGGAGATTGGGCCATGACCCACCACGCGAGCCCAGTGCGGATTGGTGGGTGCTAACGACTGCAGATGTAGCCGGGACCAACGGCTTATCGTGCCTCCGAAGCACGGTGGAGCTCGAGATAGTTATTTTTGGTCACCCATCCAATGACCGACAACTGCGAAAGTTGCGTAAGTTCAACGATCGCAGCCTAACGCACTAATCACTTGCGCCATCGAACTCCTCTAACTCACCTTATAGCACACTAATATTGTAATAAAGAGAGAAGAAGAGGCAGAGAGAAAGAGAATAGAGCGCCATAATAAAGACACAGACGTACTCACTCCTTTCGCTTCATTCAAATTCATTACTCTTTTCATACACCGCCTCCGACTCCTCCCACACAGGCCATAAACACCAACACTACACGGCTAGCAAACGTGCACACTAGCTTAGCATTAGGCAGACACAGCACCCGTTGCATATGAGTGCGAAGACCCGGTCTACACACGACACGCTATACCAGCTACAGGTACGTACCTGGGCGTTTTTCCCCGCCCCCTACGACAACGGCTAACTAGAGCCGAGGTCCGAGTCTTAATCCCGTATTATAGAAAGATTCTCAGTGATTGATCTAGTCTTGAGCATTGGTCGAGCGCCATAAAGATGGTTTTAGTTTAATTGGTAAAATTATGTTTCTATTCTGTTATGTGTGGCGATATACCAGGAAAACTTCTCGCGCCCTCTTATCTGTGGGATTGATGTCGCCGTGGCTGAGGGCACTGGCTGGTTACCGGAACAAACATTGTTTATGGTGCCTTTCGTGTAAAAAAGTGACTTACTCTCTTCCTTCAAAAAAACTGTCAATACTTTTCTCTGTCGCTATGAAATTATTAAAATATCGGAACAATCGTAAAAACTATAATTGTGACGTGCGCTTTCTGGAATGCCGGCAAAGCAGGGTCCAGCCGTCTCACATTACGCCCGTCGGAGACCACGCAACCCATCGTCCTGGAGGTAAGAGGGCGCTTCTTTTTCCTGGTATTGAACCACATAATTTATAATTTCGGTGTAATCCACCCCAGGTGTGGGCTATTTACACGCGCCACACCAAGCATAGTTAGAAAGGGATGTCGCTATATATAGCACATAGCGCCATCCCTTTCTAACTGTA